TTCCTGTGGCCATTTCTGTCACCATCACTCCATAACCCTTCCTCTTTTGTGGTTCTTTCAATCCAAATTTATCACCCAATAATTCTGGTAGACACTGTCTTAGCTTAGTCTTTCTTCCCTCCCCAGCACCTGCCCTCATATTAGGAAAATTCAACATGCATATTGATACTCCCTCAAATAACTTAATTTCCAAGAGTTCCTCAATTTCTTTATTTCTCATGAACAAGTCCTCTATCCCACATCAGCTACATACAGCAATGGATTATATCCTTGATCGTGTCATTTCCCATAAGTATTCCACTTTAATATTCAAAAGTTCTGACATTCCTTTATCTTATCATAATATTTTATTATTCCATCTTTCCCTCAGCTTTATGACCCATAACACTATTCTTTATTCTTACCATGACCTCCAATCCTATGATCCCTCAGTACTTCCCAGGCTGGCACATTTGCACTGGCTCTTCTGTCCTTTCTTCTCTATCTCAAACCATTGGTGAATCAGCTCAACTGTACATTATCCTTTGCACTGAAGTCTCTAACCCTCTTATCCAATAGCCAATCAGAACAATTAGAACATAATTCAATAACAATGTATGACTGCTCTTATCATCTTCTGGGAGGTTGGTAGTTAAACTTTATTAGGACATGAAACAGTCTTTGCAAGGTTACTAATTAGCCATTTTACATTTCACCTTAACTTGCTATTGTTTTCTGTTTTATTTTGTTTTGTTTTGTTTTGTTTTTGGTTAGGCAATGGGGTTAAGTGACTTGCCCAGGGTCACACAGTAAGTGTTATGTGTCTGAGGCCGGATTTGAACTCAGGTCCTTCTGACTCCAAGGCCGGCTCTCTATCCACCGCGCCTTAACTTAATATTGTTGATCAACTCTACTGGTAAAATGAGTCAGGCTTGGCTTCTCTCCTTATGGTGGTCTCTTTCTCTGATCAAGATGTTTTCCCTCTATCAGTCACTAGTTTTTTTTTGTTTTTGTTTTTGTTTTTTTGTGGATTCTATCTCCAACTCACAATGGCATCTCTCATTAGATCACCAGATCTTCTGTACTAATAGGATGCTCAAAATATATTCTTCTCAGGATACAAATTTACCTAAAATCACAAGAGAACAAATTCATAAAGACCTTTAAGGTCTTTTAAGGTCTACCCCAAGTCTACCTAGTTGAATCCCAGTTCCAACTAAGGAGCAGTGGGGTCACTGTGATATCAGGTTAGAGAAGGACCATCCTTCTCTGTACTTCATGGGAATAACATCCTGTTGCCTGGAGAGCTACAGCCAAGAGGCCCCAGCTGGAAGCTATCTCTTCTTTTAACAATTCCCAAGTCACTAACTCTTCTGGCTCATCAGCCAATTAGGCGACTCTCAGTGATGCATCAAACATGGCAGCCCTCCAGTTTCCACATGGTTGACTGAAAATGGGCAGAAAATATATATGCATGCTCTGTACAAAGCCATGCATTTGCTTATGAGTTCCTGTGAGTCTTCTGCATTTTTAAAATTTTCTAGAGGCTAGAATAAAACCTATCTTGTACTCAATAAGTCTGTTACTCTTTTGAGGGCTTATATGGGGTACGAAAATGCTGTTACTCATATTTGTGGAAACCTAGATACAAGCCTAGTCAATGATTTTCCCAGTGTAAACTCAGAGGGGGAGCATAATGAGACACAGTGATATTGATATCTTGAAGAGGCTTTCTTCCAATGACTGGACTTGGTCCATGTGATCTTAGTTCTTGATGATTCTAGGCCATAAATAACATTTCTACAATACTATATATCCTATATATAATATTAGTTATATAGTGAAGATGGGAGAGCATGGACAGATTATAATCAATATCCCTGAAAGGAGTACCCACAACAATGAAATCACAGATTCATTAATGTATTATTCATTAGTGATTTTGGTCATTTTACTTTCATCATTTAGCAACTTTTCCTCTTTTGAAGTCTGCTAAAAAAAATTTCTACCCAATTCAAATTATGGTGACTATAGCACACCAACCTCCAGGTCATTCTCTATTCTTTCATTAACAGTTTGTTTATAACCTGTTGAATTTACCTTTCTGCCACTGGATTGGTTAACTTTTTTATTTCTTGTTTTGTTGTTTCTTTTATGTTTTAACATTCTTTTAAAAAATTTTTAAATATTTCATATTTTTTTACCCAATTACATGCAAAAACAATTTTAACATTTAAAAAGAAATTTGAGTTCTAAATTCTCTCCCTCACTCTTTCCCCTCCATCCTCCCTGAGATGGCAAGTAATCTGATATATATTATACATGTGCAGTCATGTAAAACATATTTCCATATTGCTCATGTTGTGAAAGAGAACACACCAAAAACCCCAAGAAAAATAAAGTATGCTTTGATCTGCATTCAGATTCCATTAGTTCTTTCTCTGGAGGTAGATAGCATTGTTCATCATGAGCCCTTTGGAATTGTTTTGGATCATTGCATTGCTGAGAATAGCTGTAATTCACAGTTGTTCACTGTGTAATGTTGCTGTTACTATATACAATATTCTCCTGGTTCTGCTCACTTCACTTTGCGTCAGTTCATGTAAGTCTTTCCAGGTTTTTCTAAAATCTGCCTACTCATCATTTCTTATAGCCACAATCATATTCCATCACAATCATTTATCACCACTTGTTCAGTCATTCCCCAGTTGATGGGTATCCCCTCAATTTCTAATTCTTTGCCATCACAAAAAGAGTTGCTATAAATATTTTTGAGCCTATAGGTCCTTTCCCCTTTCTTTTGATCTCTTTGGAACACAAATCTAGTAGTGGTATTGCCAGATCAAAATACATGCACAGTTTTGTAACCCTTTGGGCATAGTTCCAAATTGTTCTCCAGAATGATTGGATTGGTTTACAACTCCACCAATAGTGCATTAGTGTCCCAATTTTCCCACATACCCACCAACATTTATCATTTTCCTTTTCTGTCATAATAGCCAATCTGATAGATGTGAGGTGGTACCTTCGTTGTTTTAATTTGCATTTCTCTAATCAATAGTGAGTTAGAGCATTTTTACATATGACTATAGATAGTTTTGACTTCTTTGTCTGAAAACTACCTGTTCATATCCTTTGACCATTTATCAATTGAAGAATGACTTGCATTCTTATAAATTTGACTCAGTTCTCTATATATTTGAGAAATGAGGGCTTTATCTTTATACTTACTGTAAAATTTTTTTCCCAGTTTTCTGCTTTCCTTCTAATCTTGGCTGTTTCTTTTATGTTTTAACAGATATTCATTAGCACAGAGAAACTTGGTACAATTTCCCCTCAATTATCTGTTTCTTTTGTAACTTTAGGGCAGCTCGGTGGCACAGTGGATAGAGCACCGACCCTGAAGTCAGGAGGACCTGAGTTCAAATCTGGCTTCAAACCAAACACTTGACACTTACTAGCTGTGTGACCCTGGGCAAGTCACTTAACCTCAATTGCCCAAAAATTAAAAATAATAATTTTAGATGAATTGCTTTTGCTTGTATACAATCTTTTAATCTTTATGTAATCAAAATTTTACCTCTGTGAAACTTTCTATCTCTTGTTTTATGATGATATCTTCCCCATCCATAGATCTGACATGTATTTTCTGTATGCTTTTCTAATTTGTTTAATATGTTACTTTTTATGTCTAAATCATATCCATTTGGAGCTTATCTTGGTATATGGTGTGAAATATTGGTCTAGACCTAGTTTCTGCCAAACTATTTTCCAGTTTCCCATCAGTTTTTGTTGAATAATGAGTTCTTGCTCCAATAGCTGAATCTTTGGGTTTATCAAGCTTGTTTGCTTCTGTATATCATGTACCTAATCTGTTCCCCTGATTAACCTCTCTATTCTTTTTGTTGTTGTTGTTGTTGAGTCATATCCAACTCTTCCTGAAACTGAGGCAAACAGAGTTAAGTGACTTGCCCAGAGTCACACAGCTAATAAGTGTCTGAGGCCAGATTTGAACTCATGAAGATAAGTTTTCATGACTGTAGGCCCAGCATGCTATCCACTGTGCCATCTAGCTGCTTATTATCAGATTGTTTTGATCATTATAGCTTTGTAGTATAGTTTTAGATCTGATACTGCTAGATACCAGTTGTTTCACTGTAGGCTTCAGACTTGGCTGGAAGCCAGAACTGAGTCTCTGCTCTGCTTTTAGGGTCAGAGCCACACAGCTATTGTTTACTTTTCAACTTGTTCCTCACTCAGGACATAACTAGGCCCTACTCTACCCGTTTCTCTTTGCTAGTCCTAGGTCCCCTTCTCAGTCCACTTTGCATCTGTGACCTGGACCTTCATAGTGAGTAACAGAGCTGCCAGATAGCACCCCTTGCCATACCTTGTACTAGTTCAGGGATTCCCTGGGATCTCTTCCTGTCCCTGTGCTTCCTGTTGCAGTATATAGCCTCAATATTCTTTTAGTCTCTGGGCCCTGGAGCCTAACACTGTGTGCTCCTGGTCAGATTCTTGTAGACCTCTTTGTCTATCTCTTTATACAGACCTTGGATTTTTTTTTTTTATGATCTTTGTGGAGAACATTTGTTGAGGAACTGGACTGTACATCTTCTTGCTTCTCCACCATTTTGACTCTCCTTCCTTTTTTGTGATATAGGATGTATTCAGGGAAGACCTGTGGGGTAAGGGCTGCTTTCTACCTTTACTGTCTACCTGATTCACCAAACTCTCACCTGTGGCTCCAAGAAGCTTTAGCATGCACAGTGGCCACACTCCGTTAAGCCGTTTTAGCAGACTGGTTAAACCAGGCTGGGGGTAACAGAGGGGTCTCAACCCATCAGTGAGTTAGTGGGATGTCTACCCTAAGCATGTGAAGACTTCCCTTGGCAGAATGGGCAGATGAGAACAGTCTGATCCAACTGCCATGAAGGAGGTGGAAGCAGGCACTGTGGAGTGCTTTGGATATTGAAGACACCAAGGTCATCCACTGCATCCTGAGCCATTACCAGTTGTCTTGACTTTTGTCTTGCCACTGGATTCCAATGACTCTGGAAGAGAGAGTGAGGCCTATGACTCTGTGCAACTCTGCCTCACTTAAATCCAATTTATGCATGAATCAAAAACATCACCCATACCATTTTACCATCTTTACCTACCTCAAATCCCTGTGGCAACAGACAAGCAACAAAACAGTAGACACAGATACATTGGGAGCTGTAGTCACAACGTGCATACAGGTGGCCCAGGCCATAGGGTTGTCTTCTCACTGGACTGAAGCAGTAGTGAAATTTGGCAGCCTCCTGGGTATCTGAGCAACCTTCTTAATGACCACACTGCTCACCTCCTGACGTGAGAAAGGGGATAGAAAAAGTGACCTAAAAATTGTCTGATTCGAGGTAGAGCCAAGGTAGTGGAATAAAGGCAAGGACTTGCCTGAGGTCTATCCCCAAACCCCTCCAAATACCTTTGAAAAAAGACTCTAAACAAATTCTAGCGCAGCAGAACCCACAAAAATAATTCCTTAAAAATTAGAATGGAAAAAATGGAAGTTAATGACTTTATGAGAAATCAAGAAACAGTAAAACAAAACAAAAAGAATAAAAAAATAGAAGACAATGTGAAACATCTCATTGCAAAAAACAATTCAATAATCATTAAAAGTCTGTCATATCTAGTTTTTACAATATGTTGTTCAGATATATAATTTTTTCTTGTTTATCTTTTTCTCAGTTTTATCAAGTTCCGAAAGAGGTACTTTGAAATCTCTGCATGAGAAACATTTTGAAAGAAGCCCAAAGGAGAATACAGAGAAAGCATGTCAGAAGATGCAACATTGGCAAAAAGATCATAGTACAAATTTTGGGGGACTTCAAGCCTAAGTATGTGGGTTGTACAGGGTGATGTTGCAAAGCTCCCTTCCCCCTAGTGACTATCCAACTCCAGAGATGGCCTGGCAGTCAACCAGAAAATGACTGCTATCTGTATAGGAGCTAGGGTGGGGATAATCATCTACTAGGTGGTGAGATTGTTCCATTTTCTCCTTTGAGAATTTAACATTGGGGGAATGCCTGCTAATCCTCCTCCCTAATCCACTCTACAAGTGGCCTCTGGGCATGTCTGTTCTTTTGGCAAAAGTGAAGAGCTCAGATTTTAACTATAACAGCTGCAACCACTGGGGAGCTAGGATTTTAGACCTCATTAGCTCTGGCCAGGTTTTAGTTGCTTGGAAGTTTTAATGTGGTGTATTTTATTTTTTTCTTTTCCATTCTGTAAATGGACTCTAATTGATAATGTGTGCCCATATTTCTCTGAGTCACTTGAAGTTAGGAAGGAGATAAGAATCTTAATGGGATGGGGACTGAGCCATTTTTTTTGATAAAGTTATGATAATATTTGCATTTTAAGCCCTAGACTGAATTAGGTGAGATAAACAAGGATAATTGGTTCTTGGCAGCATAGAGAGATAGACAAAAGACTTGGTCTAGGAGCCAAAAGTACTTCACGAGATCCTAAGCAGGTTGTGTATATACATATGTGTGTGTACAAGAACTGAAACAACTACCTGGTGACTTATGCAGAGATTTAACTCTGAGTATCTATTCCTGCCCACCCACTGCCTTCCAATTATTGATCCCCATATACCTGAAGTAACAAGGTATTCTGGGAGTGACTCTGGAGGTAGTATGTTTCAAGTGGTTTAAACCACCACCTTGACACCACTTTTCCTTGGATTTACTTAGTTCAAACCACCACCTTATGCACTACCTCTACTTGGATTCTGGTGGAGAAAGCCCAGGATCCACAGCCCAAGAGCCCTTGTAATTGCAAAGACAACCCTTTACCCCCCAAATTGTCATACTTCTATCCTAGCTCTAGCAGATATCCAGGTAAGTATCCTTCATGGAAACGGGGCCCTGAATCCCCAACAGCAACTGTTGACCAACTACTACTGATGGACAGGTAAATCTAAGTCCACTAACCCCACTGCCAGCCTGGCCCTTGCATCTGTTGTCCAGGAAAGAAACCTCTGTGAAGATGTGACCTATCACCTACCTCTGAAGATGCTGTCGCTCCCATCTCCTTAGCAGCTATAGCTTCTGAAGACTGAAAAAGAAAGTTCTAACTGCTAAACAGTATGCATGACACTGTCAAATAGTTCAACATCAGATACAGATAAGATTTTATCAATGGAAATTACATTAAAAAAGATCTATTATGAATTACTTTGCTGTTGCACCCTAAGGACCATGGGACTTTTACTCCTACTAGCAACTTAAACCACCCATAAGAGGCTTAAGCTGAAATGAGAGTTTAACTCCCTATTAGAGTGTGAGCTCCTCAAATGCAGGAATTTCCTGATTTTTTTTTTGGTATGCCCTGTGCTTATCACAGTACTTTGAACATAGCAAGTCCTTAATAAAGGTTTTATCATCCATTAAGTCAGTCATTGAAGGCAGGTGCATCTTATCCTTTATTTGGTTCATTTTTTGTTATTTTGAAAAGATAAAAGAGAGCTGGGCTTACACACAACTTTGATTCATCCATCCTGATAGAAGTAACTTCCCTTCCCTTCTCACATCTTTTAGGCTGCCTTAGGTCATAGTTTGAATTTCCCCTCCCTGAAGGTACAAATTGGCACTTGATGACCATTTGTTGCTGATCCTGTAGAGGGGATTAATGTTCTGCCTAAGGGTTTGATTAGATGATTTCTGAGGTCCTTTCCAGTATTAAGATTCTGTGACTGATGTATTTTCATCCCTATTTTATAGATTAGGAAAATGAAGAAGGCTTAGAGTGGTTAAATTATTCACTTAAAGTCATATAGTTACTAAGTTTTGGAGCCAGGACATGAACACCAGTCAAATTATGCACAGAGAGTGACATAGACTTAATCTTAGGGCTTCATCCTATACCAAAAAGCCATAATAACTAGAGAGAAAAACTTGATGTTTCTCCAAGTACTCACACACTTCTAAGTACTTCCTTTGATATAACTTAGATAAACTATATAAAGAGTTCTGTAAACCATAAAGCACTATATAAATACTAGCTATTATTATTATTCTTTTAGATGTAACTCTGAGTGTGGATTGATAGAAATGACTGAGGAAACAAAAGTTCAAGCTTCTGAGAATATCAGTTTATTAAGCACTGCATGCCAGTTGCATAACAAATTGGGACCAGGTCTCCTCAGCTTGGCACTGGACCCCAAATATAGAGGGAGATAGATTTTTGTGCATTAAAAGAAAACAATTAGCAGGATATAAACTAGGATACAAGATTAGGTCATCTGATTTCTAACTGGAGGAAAGATCAGAGGCTTTTCAAATTGGGAGGGGGACAGCAAATAGGTGCAGTTTGCTGAAATCAGAAAAAGAGGTGTTCCCCCCCATGTGTCTCTCTTCTATCAAAGGAACAAGGAAACAGTAACTAATTGACCAGTACATGGCCAGTTTTCAAATAGGACGTGAATTTTTTGAGATGTATAATTGTGAGAAAACTCTTTGTATCAATCTTAAACAGATCTGTTAGAGGTAGTACAGATTCCCAGCCACTAGGTTCAAACAGTACAATAAAGTTTTCTCACAATTCCCATAACTGAATAAAGTTTTCTCCTAAGATAGAAACTGGACTAGCCTTATAATTGAATAGAAAGAGAATTGAGCTAGATGCATAATTGAATCACAAGATGGAGTCAGTGTGGTTCACTCAATTCCCACACAACGATACCAAAATTACCTCAAGGCTTTTCATCTCTCAACTCTGTACCTTCACACATGCTATCCTACTTGCCTAGAAGGCATTCCTTCTTCATCTTTGCCCCATAATTCAATTCAGCAAGCATGTATTAAGCATTTACTACTGCCAGGCATTGTGTGTATGTATGTGTCTATGAAGTAATTTCCTGGGGGAGGGTATAAATCCAATGGGAAGGGTGGTTTTTTAAATAGTAGAATGTTGTTAGTGTGCTCAGAGGGAGGGCAGAATGGAAGGGGAAGAATTGAGTAGGATGGAAAGAGGGGAGCAAAAGGGTTGACATGGGTAAGTATGAGGGAGTAGGGAGTGCTGGCCCTGGAATGGAACAACATACACTTATCAGAATTACAGAAATAGCTTAGTTATTTTAAATCTAAACTCTCTCTGTCTCTCTGTCTCTGTCTCTATCTCTCTAAAAATATATATATATATATATATAAAGTTGTTTTAGTTTGTAATGTAAAGGGTCATATCTTGCAGAAAATAAGTTCATTTGGTCAGATATTGTCAGTAAATTTATAATCTGAAATAGGCATACATTAAAATATTAATTCTAAATAGCTATTGAACAATAATATGAGCAACATAAATAAGATCTATCCAGTCCATATTTATAGATTAGCAGCCCTCTTATTCATCTTATTTCCCCCCCCCACCCCCACTGCATCTAGCAAGGGGTCTCATACATAGTAACATTTGAATATGTTGGTACTTTGATGGATCTGTGATTTCATGGGTGTGGGTCCTCCTACCACTGATGAAACTCAAGATTTCTCTGGGCCTTTCAAATCTGATTCATGGCCCTGTTTTCCTATAAATGATATATAAAGGATATAACAAATGTATTAGATATCTTGTTTGTTTAATATCTGCAGGTAGCAGTAGAACATTTGGGTTGTCCATCTTTTGTCTCTTATTCTCTCCATGACAGGTTCACTTTCTAATAACATTCATTTATATTCTCAGTAATGTCAAGTCAACAAGCATTCATTAAGCACCTACTAAATGTCAGACACTGGGTTGGATGAGCCAAATGATGGCTTTTTGAGCATGGGGGAAACATTGAATTGTTTGTAGGCAGTAAGGAAGCACTCAGAAGATAGGGAGATACTGAAGATTAGTGAGAAAGTATGGAGGATGATATAGAGGGTCAATATGCTTAAGAAGACGGGATGGAGCAGGGTTGGAGTCAAGATGGCAGAGAGAAACCAGGAGGTTGATTGACCTCTTTCCAGTTTCCCTCAGACACAATGTTAAATTAAGCCTCTAAAAGAATTCTGGAGTGACAGAATCCATAAAGAGACAGACTGAAACAATTTTCAACTCTGGTCTTTTCATCAAGAATGCTTGAAAGTCCTCTATTTCACTGAATGACCATTTTTTCCCCTGAAGGATTATATTCAGTTTTGCTGGGTAGGTGATTCTTGGTTGTAATCCTATCTCCTTTGCTCTCCGGAATATTATATTCCATGCCCTGTGGTCCCTTAATGTAGAAGCAGCTAAAACTTGTGTTATCCTGATTGTATTTCCACAATACTTGAATTGCTTCTTTCTGGCTGCTTGTAATATTTTCTTCTTGACCTGGGA